ATTGGCGGACATGGATCCCTGAGGAACATTATATTTTTTTTTTATATTGTGGGACTTTTTTTAATACAGAACTTTATGTACAGTGTGTGTATTAATTTACAATGTATCATTTGTTATGAGTAACAAGGCGTACTATGTACTCCTTACTCTTCTCTTAGGGTTAGGCCCTTTTTTAAAGGATTTTGATAAGTTCACTTCCACTCTCTCCCTAGACCCAGACATCCCTCATGGCCAGGGAGATGGGGAAGGGGCCTTTCTTCCCATCAACATGGGAAAATGGTGCTTTGCAGAAGATGGCTGTGCGGGAAAGGGAGGGGGAGCATGTGGTAAGGGATAAATGCTCCTTACGTTCAGGGGTAAAGGAATAAGCTGTATTGCTTACCTTATTTCTCACCCAAGCAGCCTTCCTCCATGCTGTGTGACCAGTCCTCCTCAGCCTCTTCTCTAAGGCACTCTGGCTGGAGGTCACATGCAGACATCATTACATATAATGCATGACCAATAGCCCTGCATTGTATATGCTGATAGCAAGGGCCTGCCTAAAACCTGGAGCAATGGAGAGAAGAGAAGAGCACCCAGGTGGGGGAGTAAGAATAAGGTAAATATTACAGCCATTTCCTCTGCCCCCCCTAGATTTAATGTGTAATTTGGATCGTGGTGAGCAGTTAGAATCCCCGTCTACACCTCTGTTAGATAAATTCACTCTCTTATTAGTCCTCATCAACAATGTCACCAGCAATAAAAGTGAGAGTAAATCCATAATACTGAGTTGCCACTGGAACAGGCTAAAAAAAGGGGAAACACTTAGCCCTGTGACAGCTGTCTAAAGCTGACCATCCATGGATGGAAATTTGGCCAGTCCATCAGGGACCAGCTATAGCTAGCAACACTGATCATTGTATTCTGATGGCATGGACATTTCCCCAATATCAGAAAATAATTCAGTAACTCAGCAGGAAGGATTCCCCTATCCACACTGAATGTTTGGATGGAGGAATCAGCTATTTTTTTTATCATATATGGCCAGCTTTAGGGGGATTTCCAAGATATCCTCTCATTTCCTGTTGAGTCTACAGGACTGGAGATGAAGGGGCATCTCCATAATAAGACACAAAGGGCAAAAAAAAACTTCCCTGAGTTCAGCTAAAGTAGTATTAAATGCTCAAGTTTCTTTTTAATTAATACATTTAGAGCAGTCTTCTAAGTATTGCTCTTTACATGATTAGCTTAGAATGTGTGGCCTTAAACTTACCCAACTGTACTGCATATCTTCGCCATCCCCAGGCCTAAATGTGTCGCTTCTCTGAACTTCCATGGAGGGCCGCATATGACCCGAGTACATCCAATGCACGATTGAGAACAGGCAATGCATATGCAGAGAGAGAGAAGTGGGAGTGCCTTGCTGCCTTACCTAGACTGCCCATATACTATTTAATCAAACAATGTACTTTAGGTCTACCATCAACTAGGTAATGCAATGGTCTGACTGATATAATACTAGAATAATGGATTCTTTAAATTTGTCCTCATAGTATTTATTACAGGTACTTATGTAGCACCATTAATTTACTCAGTACTACCTGTATATATTGGACATTCACAATATTCTGTACCCTAAAGGAGCTTACAATCTAAGACCCCCAACTCACATTCAAACATACTAGGACCAATGTAGACAGGAGCCAATTGACCTACCAGCATGTCTTTGGGAGGAAACAGCATGTCTTTGGGAGGAAGAACATGCAAACTCCAGGCGGGTAGTGTCATGGTTGTGATTTGAACCACCAACCCTAGTACTGCTAGGCAGAAGTGCTAACCACTTAGCCACCCATATTACATAGTTTAGGTAAATATAAAGGAAATTGTACATGGACTGTACAATCAGATTTTATAGTGTATGGCCAGCTTGATTCTTTCTATAAATGCATGCAGCATCTGTAGGTGCCAGCTAGGAGAGTGCAAACATATACCTCCCAACTTTCTGAAATGATAAAAGGGGGCACCTTTTAGTGCACAGTATAGAGGAAAAGGACATGCTCCTGCCGTGGCTGTGATTACACGGACCACAAAGATCTAATATGCAGAATATGATTGGCCAAACCACATGTGCGTTTTTTATCTCTCTTTTCCCTTAATATTGGCTTTTCAAACTAACAAATGCAGTAATATAGAGGTTGAAGAAACTGTTTTGTGCAGCATAACACTTTTGGTGATAAATTAGTACATTTTGTTAGAGATTCATGCACTAGACCAATATGAGGAAGAACTGAGGCTTCATCAGGGACAAAGCAATTTGGGCTCAAAAGTTGAGAGCTATGCAAACAAGGGTGGCTTCATAGAACCCTATAAAGGGAAAAGAGCCACCCTTAATCCAGGTACTTGTGGGACTTTATAAGACTGCAGGGCATCTGGGTGACACTCCCTCATGTTTTCTACACTAGTTGGGTGCCAAGTGTGATCATATTTGAGGCCTACACTGGGGTGGGTTCTTCTGGGCTACACTGGACACCTTTAACAGGACTACTCTACTTTAAACATGGGGTACCTTTACCCTGTGCCATCTTCACCAATGCCCTGGGACAAAGCTGAGACCACTGTGGGGAAATACTCAACCTTAAAACAAGCCTCTACTCTTAGAGATGAACATATACCATGTACATATGCACCATAACTGTTCTCCAGTTAACACTTGGGTCCCCATGACAATGTATACTCTCACTGTACTTGACTTACAATTAGGAGGGACATGCTGAGCATTTTCTACATCCATCTGTCCAGTGTTTTCCACTACCATTCCCAGCAGCAGAACGGGGCCCCCACCGTGCATTCTTGTTCTCTTGTACTCTTCTGTACCTCTGTACAGGATGGGGACCTTGGTGGTGCAAGTCAAGTCATCCCATTGCTTTGGGAGACAGACCACTGGCAGAAACAGTGCCGACAACATCTCCCTTGCTGCTCAAGTCCATTTCACCCACAGATACACTCTACCAACAGGCCGCATTAACCAACTGTAGACTTCAGTTATCCATGGTAACCACTTGTATTACACCAGGATGATTCTAGTGCAGTCTCTTCATACCTTAATGTACTTAGTGACTCAAAGTTGTAGAAATGTGCCAGTTACTTGCATTGCACTCCTATTAACTTCAGAGCAAGCAGAAGGCAAAGTTTCAGCGTTTTACTTACTAAAGTTCCATAGGTGGCATCCTCCAATGCTGGAACCCCAGGTCCCAACAACCTCTTACATCATGACACGTTCATGTTCACAAGGGCTCTCTCATCCCCCAAACTCCCTATTCTTGACCACTGTTCCTCTTTTAAAGCACCAGATCAGTGGGTCAGACCCAAAGAAACCAACCAAGTAAAAGATCTGGGAAAAACATTAACCCTGACCCTCCTGTCCAGGGCAGCACCTAACTAGCTCAAATACAACCCACTTACAAGACAGCTACAAAGCAATAGTTCACCAGATCAAGAAGATGTACACCCTTTCGCCAACATTTGAAAGCAAGAGAAATAAAAATATGCTTCAATGTCATTTTAAAGTGCTATTAAACCCAAAACCAAAAATGTAATATATTGCAGTTTACAAATCACTGGATGTGATGACTGCATCAGTTTTCAATTCTTTGGCTTTTTTTCCTCTCTATGGTGGTCTGGCTAGTAACCATAGGCGTGCACAAGGGTTCTGCCCTGGCACACCCTAATCACTCAGTGCGCATTAGCATCATTGCTCTGTGTGCGGCTGATAGATGGGAAAGATCTCCCTCTGACCGGCTCTGCCATAAGAGAAATGCTTCTGCACTTCTCTTTCACTATGCAGTCAGGGAGATGGGAAAGATCTCCCACTGACTGGCATTGCCATAAGTGTGCATGTATATACTGTATATACACACACACACATGTATGTTTGAGCTTTGGAATGCAGCAATAGGCTGTGCGCACCTATGCTAGTAACACGCCTCCAGTATTAGTGAGACACCACTCTGAGCATCAGAGGCACAACAGCAGCAATGACGGGTGAGGATGAGTGTTAAATGTATTAGCAGATTTAAATACAATAACGAACTAAAGCCAAGCTCCAGCTAACACTTTATAATCAGTTACATCAAACAGTTTTCTTTTACTTTGGGGATAAAAGTCTTACATGAATAAATAAAAGCTGATCATGTTAATCAGTCCTGCCAGTGGAAAATGGATTGTCTCATCCATGGAAACTGACACATTCTGCTGGAGAGCTAGAACTCCTGAAAAACAGCAGACTTGCTGGCTGTATCACAGAATGAAAATTGAAGAAATAAAAAGGAAACGAATTCAGCCATTACATCTAAGAACTGGCAAGCTGCAATAAAAGAAATGTTTGCTCTTGGGTTTAATATTGCGTTAAGAAGCCCCTGCTATATAGTGTTCATGACTGCACACCTTCCATGATACATTTCTGAAAACATCTAGTCTGGGGAGGAATGGTGAGTGTATTGCAGCCCCAGTAAGCAGGCTTCATGCTTTGCCTGGCTGGAAAACTATTTTCCGATGATGAGAAATCAGAGCTGTAGCTTTCCTCTATGAACCTTGAGTGGTCCCCCCTGCGGTTAGCACATTGCCCTGTAGGTGGCGCTGTGTGCGTGGAAAGCTATGGGCGTCCGTGCAGTGGAGGGATTGAGTGACACGCCTCGCGGTGGTGGGAGAGGCACGGAGTATGAGTGGGGAGTACGGAGCTGGACGGCTCATAGCGAGGAGCGCTGACTGCTGGACGAGGCGTAGTGTGAGCAGGACAGACACATCCCACCACCATGGCTCTTCCAGCGGACACTCTCTGGATTACCCCCGTCCTGTAACTTCTGACCGATCTCCCCTATCAGTCTGGATCCCCTTGGAATTTGGATCGTATCCTTCCCACCATACTGGCTGTTTGCAATGACTGCTTCCAGCTGGCTCCCATCACCCAGGGAGGATTGCACAGGAGATTTCTAGCTGAGCTTGCCCCAGCACTGGATCCACCTATGTGCAGAGAAAAGCTGGAGATAATGATCCTTACACGTAAGATCCCATCTTCTCATCTATGTGCATTGCTCATCCTGATCCTTGGGGCTCCCAGGCAGCGTGGGAATTCCTGTGTGGAGTGTGGCCCCTGACAGCTAGAGGGGCCGCACTTCATTAAGAAAGCTGCTGGGGGGCATACACTGGGCTTTTCATTACACCTTCCACCAAGATTTAATTATTTTCTGGGAGGTGAGCAATGATGGGGGATGTGTGTATGATGCTGGGCTTTTCCATGTCCCATCATAGGCTGGGGACTTTCCTAATCTACAGTCCCTTTCCATCTTTTCTATCCTAGGCTGGGGGTCTTCTACTGATCCATAGACCCTTTCCATCCTTCCTATCCTAGGCTGGGGACTTCTACTGATCCATAGACCCTTTCCATCCTTCCTACCACAGGCTGGGGACTTCTACTGATCCATAGACCCTTTCCATCCTTCCTATCCTAGGCTGGGGGACTTCTACTGATCCATAGACCCTTTCCATCCTTCCTACCACAGGCTGGGGACTTCTAATAATCCACAGACCCTTTCCATCTTTCCTATCCTAGGCTGGGGGACTTCTACTGATCCATAGACCCTTTCCATCCTTCCTATCATAGGCTGGGGATTTCTAGTAATCTGCAGCCCCCTTCCATCTTTCCTATCCTAGGCTGGGGACTTCTACTGATCCATAGACCCTTTCCATCCTTCCTGTCATAGGCTGGGGACTTCTACTAATCCACATACCCTTTCCATCCTTACCTACCCTAGGCTGGGGGGATTATCCACAGACCCCTTCCACCCTTTTTATCCTAGACTTAGGGGGCTTCTTCTAATCCACAGAAATCTTCCATCCTAGGCTGGGGGACTTCTACTAATCTACAACCCCCTTCAATCCTACCTATCCTAGGCTAGGGGAGTTCTACTAAAACACAGACCCATTCCATCCTTCCTATCCTAGGCTGGGAACGGGGAGGGGGTTCTTCTAATTCACAGAGCCCTTCCATCCTTCCTATTCTAGGCTGAGGGGGTTCTACTAATCCACAGAACCTTTCTGTCTTCCCTATCCTATGCTGAGGGGCTTCTATTAATCCACAGACCCCTTCCATCATTCCCATGCTAAACTGGGGGGGGCTTCTACTAATCCACAGATCCCTTCCATCCATCCATTTTATCCTAGGCTGTGGAGCTTCTACTAATCCACAGACCCCTTCCACCTTTTCAGTAAACCTTCATATTTCACATTGGTTGCTATATCTTTCTTTGGTTTTACAGAGAGTTTTATAATTTGATTTGATGGAGTATTATTGATGCATTTAATCATACCTCACTTTAGTGTATGTAAACTCCAATAGTGGCCATACACTGTGCGATAAAACTTGATCAATGTCCAACTCCAAGACAGTTTTGAACAAACTCAAGCTGGCAGGAAAAAAACATCAATCATACAAAGTCCATCAATTGTGTTTTTTTTTGGCAGTTTTTGTGAATCAGAATCTACATGTAAATAAAAATGTTTCATATAGGGCATAAAAGAACATTAATTGGCCCTGTACCATCGATTAATCATTAAAAAACGTCACTCCCTGTTGCTCATTGCTGTGACAAGATGTTTTTGTCTCACTCAATGTCCATGTCAATTACTTTGTTTCCTTTCCAAGTCGGACATCAATCGGTCAGTTTTAGTGTATCATGCATGGGCACCATACAAAAAACTCATTTTAAATCCTGTTTTTGGACCTGTTAGCCCCCATGCACACCTGAGTGTTTTAAGAGCTTTAGCACTTTTCACCAGATTTCTGAGTTATTCTAGTGTGCCTGTTCACGTCTGAGCGAAGTCCTGTTACTCAACACTCTGGAAAAGCTTTTTGGGGCATGATCATGTATTTTTGACCCCAATAGACTTTTCTGGGAGCACCTGAAAATGTGCAACTGTCTGCTCCTCCTTGTAAATAGCTGTGCAAAAATGCTTCAAGAAGCAAAAAAAAAAAAAAAAATCACAACTGCTCATGTGTAAATGAGGGCTTAAATATACAATTGAAAGGGTTTTGTTATATCAGTTCAATAAGGCTCCATTCACACCTTGGGGAGTGTAACTGAATGGGATCTAAGTGCAAAAAAGAGTTGATTCTGCCAGAAATCATAATGAGTGTCTAACTTTCTGTAGTGAGCTGTCAGGGCTGTGCTGACATTTCAAGTATCAGCCCTGACCTATGTGGTCTATAGAACACCTCCACACTGTTATGGTGATAAAGTGAAAGATGGTGTTATGTAGTTCGGACACACATCCTGTCCTGGGGGGGGGGGCAGGGGCATTCTGCTGTTTCTATGTAGGTTTTGTACAATAAGTGTTGTCAAAATAGGACAGAAAGTGTTACTGGCACCCATTTAGCTGCGTTGTTCCAGCTATCTCTGAGGACTGCAAGACACCTACCCCCCTATATTATGGAGAATTGGAAAGGTGTGGAGTTTGTAGTCTTGTCTTAGGGTGACAATACTGCTCCTCCATAAATTCAGTACAGTAAGTGTTGTCAATCCTAGAAGTGTTGGTGGCAGAATCACATGATGCCAAGAAATAGATAAAAAGCCTAAAAAAAGAAGAAGAATTCAGCCACTCCAATATATTGTGCAATATACTGCATTTTGTTGTTGGATTTGGATTGTATTTAGGTGTATATTACTTTTGTTTTTTACAAAAATAATATGCACAGCATTTGACATCAGTCATGATGCATTTCCTGGGTTACTCATCACTATAAAATCCTAATTCATAACTGACTGTTATAATAAAAAAATGAAACCTTAACAAAAGGAAACAATTGTCTGTATAGAAAAAAAAAATATACACACTGACATGTATGGGTTGCATTCTGTAAACTAGACTTCAACAAGTTTATGGGCATGTGTTTCATTTAAAGGCGCAGACAAGAAATTTCTTTTGAAGTTGTTGCTAATTAGTCTGCAGCATTTTAGAAGGCAAATGACCCCCTCCCGTTTGTGGTGCCCATGATGTCATACCTTTGCCTTTTGATCCCACCCTAAAAGCAACACCTCCTGCTGGTAGTAAAAAACCCATATATATCTTGTACAAATAGAAAACACATTTTCCTTCTGTCGTGAAGCTGTCATGCCTGTTTGCTTTCCTGTGGGCAAAACATATGGGTCTTCTGGTGCTTAAAGTGAGGCCAAGTCTAGCACAGGTATTTTCTGTATGTCAGTGGGCCAGCCCTGGAGCCAGTATCTAAACGTGGCCAGTTGTGTTGATAAACCTAAAAGGAGATTGTGACAGCTATGAGGATTTCAATTGTGAAGACTGTTGGATCCATTCAGTGTTATCAGCACAGGAGTGATGAAATACTTGTTCCCATTTTTCAGAGAAAAGTAAATAATTGCGAAAAATATCTGTTTAACTACTAAGATTCATTGATGCAGTTCTTGGGACCATTATGGGGCTAGTAATATAAAGAGGTTGCCTTAAAACAAGCATTTTACCACCAACAGTCGATTTAACTGGTCTTTAAAATGACAGCAGTAACATGAGATATTGGAAAAATTCAGTTGCTACCAGAAAAACATTGACAAAAGTGATCAGATTTTTAGACCAGGTTTGATCAAGGCAATATCAGTTTGATCTCCTTCCATTTCCATGGTTGAAACTGCTGCCATGTATGTGGTGGGATGAGTGCTAATTGGCTGCTGCATGTTCTTCTGCTCTTTCATTGAAGATGTCCACAGCTGATTAGAATTTAGAACAAAAATTCTTAGGAAAATTTTTGTTTTTCTCATTTTTAGTTGTCCAAATCGACATCCTTTTTCACCCACAGTGATGAGAAAATTTGAAGGAGTGGAATGGAATTTTTTTTCTAAAATGAATGAATTTCATGTATGTTGTGTTCATTTTAAAATCAAATGTTAAAAGAAAAACAAAATCTTTCAAACGACATTCAGATGTCATAAGAATGTTGTAATTGTACAAATTTTCCTAAGAATTTTTCTTTTGAAATTCCATCCACCTATGGCCAGCTTAAGTGAAAGAGTAAAAGAACATGAAGCAGCCAATCAGCGCATCCCACCATACACATAGCAGCAGTTTCAACCATTTTGGTCCAATACATGGAACATGGAAAAAAGAGATTGGACTGATGTTGCCTTGATCAATCCCTGCCTAAAATTCTGCTCACTTTTTATAAAATGTCTGTAGAGTCTTTCTGGTTTCAATCAAACTTTTCCAACATCTCGTATTGATGCCATCATTTTATAGCCTAGTTCAGTTGATTGTGGGTGGTAGACTGCTTGTTTTCAGGCAACCCCTTTCAAGTGGATGTTCCCAGTTGATCAAAAGTGTTTTAAAACCACCTGAACATTTTGACACGTAAGGCCAACTTTATAACTTGTACTTCTCTAGTGTGATAAATGGTAAAAATCCAATTGGTCGCTGTAGGTTGTTGTATTGTTCATCATTGTTGCTTTGTGCCAAAGTTTGAATTGGTTATTCACTCTATAAATCAAACTTTTTTTTTTTTTTTTTTTTTTTTTTTTGTCTGATTTCATTCTATGTGTGTTTGTAAGCCATCTATTCCCAGCAGAGGATGGGGCGAAGCTTGTCACATCATTTTTGTGTGCCTTGTCTGAACCAGGGGAAAAATAATACCGTAACAGATTGTAGATCATCCTCCAAGTATAAATCTGTCAGCAGGCCTGGAGGGGTTACCTAATTCAGCATCCATCTGGTCCACAGGCCATCGCTAGCTCTTAGCATGGCTAATTGGTGTTAGGTGATGTCTTTAACTTCACTTTAACTGTCCAACTTTGTTCTGCCACGTTGCCCTTTTGTATGGTAGCAGATGGTGGCAGCGTTTTTTACTTTACCTGGCCCCTCTCCTCCATGCATGTCAGTGACAGGTCTGGCATGAAAAGAATGGTAGAAAATGTTTAGCAGATGTGCTCACATCACATTCCTCTGTTTAGATTTTAACAAGCATTTATCATCGCTACTTCTATAAAAAATATGGTATGTTC